TATTTATTTTGTTATATTTACTCCTTTATTCTATGACTGTCTATACTCTGTCTTTTTAAGACTTTGTTTCAGTTTTTTAAACCATTTACTACTCTCTATACTCTTTTTCTTCTCTCTCCCAAGCATACATACATTTTTTAGACACACTGTGTCTCATTTAGAGGTCTTTTTCATCTGAATTTGTCTTTTTTGTGTATCTGTAATTATCTTCTGACCAGAAGTGTTTCTTAAAATGCTAAGCCCTTGTTATGAACTTAAGTGGTGTCATTGTTAGGGGAAATATGGCACTGCCTGCTTACCTCCCCCAGTCCAGCATGGCAGAGATGTTTTCTGTCTCTGAGAGCCATGCTCACAGCCCCATTTTTAGGCACAAAGCCAGTCTTTGTTGCCATTAAGCAAGTTGTAGCAGTCTATTCACAAACCCGATTTAAATGTTCCATAGCAAGACCTTGTCAGAGTTTGTACTAGAAGTACGGTCCAGGAAGCTGCAGTTTTCAAAACAGCATGGTTTTTTTTCTGCTACTGCTGAATCAGGAAAATTTCTCTTAAAGGAGCCATGCCTCTGCTTGCTTTTAGCAAACAGAGCCCACCCAAGAAAATGTCACTACCAAATCATGCTTAACTTTGTTATTTTGTGTCTAGGATTCCTTTTTAAGCTTTTTAAGGTTTTATATGAATTTAGTAAACCATGTTGGAGCACCAATTTGCCATGAGGAGGCCACTTGTTCATCCTGGCTACCCAGAACCAAAATAATCACACAGAAACTGTATTAATTAAACCACTTCTTGGCCCATTAGCTCTAGCTTCTTGTTGGCTACTCTTACATCTTAATTTAACCCATCTCTATTAATCTATATATCGTCACATGGCAGTGGCTTACTGGGTAAAGTTGCGGCATCTGTCTCTGCTCTGGCAGGGCTACATGGCTTCTCTTTCACTCTGCTTCCTTTCTTCCAGCATTCAGTTTAGTTTTCCCTCACTTACCTAAGTTCTGCCCTGCTTTAGGTCCAAGGCAGTTTCGTTATTCGCCAATAGTATTCACAGCAAACAGAAGGGAATCCCATATCAAAAAATATAATGCCAAAAAGAATAAAAGAAGGGTGATCTCATCTTTTGAACATTTAAAAAAAATAAATAAATTCTCACGTATCCTTTAAAAAATATATATATATAATGCCAATAACCTCTATACACAGACAACCTGACCCAACAGCAGAAGAAGCAAGACAGTCGTTTCTGCTCAGCTGGTGCCTACTGTGGCCATCAATACTTGTTTCCCTATTCCCAGGGTGCTGCAGGAATTTTTCTAACTAGTCCAGGACTGGGCTTTGATATCTAGTTACAGTTTTACGTATATACTCACACTTGGAGCCAATAGTGAAGAGGAGACCTTCAATGTCTTATCCCCGACAGAGGCTGGTCAGTGAGCAGATGACCAAGGTCATTATCCTGCTTACACCACTCTAACCTTGACTTGAAGTTGAAAGAGATGGTTTTGATGCTTCCTACAGAGGGGTCTACTAAAAATTCGGTGTGGTTGGGTACACTGTTTTAGGGCTCAATCATTTTTTATATTAACCCCCCAGTTCTGTTTGCTTTCGCATCCTGTTCACTGCTAGACTTTGGCCCACCAATATTGTCCTCTTAGTTCCTGAGTAGATAAATAAAGGTCCCAGGCAGATTTCTACATTCCTATTTTCGAACAAGAATTTTCCATGACATTGAAAGCAATAAACTCTTTCTACCCTACCTTAGTGTTCTTTCCCTCAGTCCTCAGACACTTAGCCACATGTGAGGAGGGGTCCAGGGTCACTGTCTTTGTTCCCTACAGACTTATGACAGTAAAAATGAACAACACTGAAGCTGAGAAGGTCGTGATGAGCATGACCAACGCGTTTCATGCATACGGGGGTAATGAGGACATGAGCATCAGGTATGATGACGATATTGAAGGGGAATTTCCTCAGCTTCTCCAACGTCCGTGTGAACGCAAGCCTGACTTTTCAGTCTTGGTTGGGCTTTACTCTGGCCAAATATTCGCTTGTTTGCTTGGTTTTTTGTTCTAGTCTTTATTCACCTTCATCTTCCAGCACTCATGTTACTTTCTTACTCCTACTAGCACTGATGGAAATTCAGAAGCAAATCTGTTCTGTAGTTAATAGGTTTTTTTTTCTTCTCTGAATGTTCCTTTTTAAATCTAGTTTCAGAGACAATATCTTTCTTGACGCTAAAAATATAAGCTTATGAGTTTTCTGCCCATGTCTTCATGAACACTACTTTTCCAAGTTCCAATTGTTTGTTTGTTTGGGAGAATAATAGTCTTTCATTTTCTTTAAACCTCTGGTTATCTTTAACTACCTTTCAAGCACCTTTCAAGAATAAGGTACTAAAGGAGGGGGTGAAGAATGACTCCATTGGTAAATATAAATATACAGGCATGTGTGGTAGCACATGTCTTTAATCCCAGCACTTGGGAAGCAGAAGCAGGTGGATATGGGAGTTCAAGACCAGCCAAAGCTTCAGAGTGAGATCTTGTCTCAGAAAAACAAAAATAAAGTATAAATAAATAAATATGTGAAAAGGGATCAAGAAAAGACATTCTATCATCCCTGGCCTCTACATACCCACATGTACTTACCCATACTAATAAACACATACGACACTCACAATGACAGAGAGAGAAAGAAAGAGACAGAGGCAGAGAGTGTGATGGAGGGAGAATCAGAGAGAGTTTGGGTGTGGGTTTCCCATTTCTGTTTGCGTATAAATTTGGACCACCCAAAGCTGTAGGTGATCTGGCCACCAGTTAGGCCAAAAGTCTCAATCCTCACCTCACTTGGCTTCATCTTCTCCAGCTGCGATGGCTATCACTTCCAGTTCCTTCATCATGTGTCGTAATTGCTTCCAGCCCCAAAAGTTTCTCAGTGCTGTGGAGATGCCCAGAACCTTCGATCTCCTTGACTGACATGGGTTTAGGTTTCTGTCAGGATCTTCCTTAAATAGGCTCGTGCATGCTTCAATAAGGACTCCTGGGGAACTCGGGGAGGAAAGGGAAGTTATTGAAAAGTGTATGTGCTCAGCTTCTAGCACCAGACTTGTCCCACAGCAAACTCAGAGTGGCTTTTCTCTGAAATAGCTAAGTCCTCAAATTAGCAGCTGACACTCGGTAGTAACTAATTGGCAGCAGGGACCTAGGAAAGACACCAGTCTAGGAGAGATCTGGGTGGAAGCTCTGAAGGGAATGATGGAAGGGGTCCTAGGAGCTGATGTGCACCATCCTCAACATTGTGGCCCAGGAAGACACCAGAGAAACCACTGCCGACTGTGCACGCCCTTAAGCCCTCTCATCCTGGGAATCAGGAGTTTTCATACCCCAGCTCTCAGCTACCTCTTGGCTACCTGCCTTGCCCAGCTGTGGCCTTACTTGGAAAGTGCCCGTGAAGGGTTTGACACTTGCACCTTAGCACCGAAGCAGAAAAGCACTCTATGTCCTTACTGGCTAAGTTCAGTATGTGCCACTGTACTTCCTGGCCTCACCTCCCCACACTCCATCTCTCACCCCGGCCCTACTCAAGCCCTCTCCACCTCTGCTGCTGCTCCTCTTCCCACCCCAAACACTAACTGCACCCACCACAGCTGGGAGCTCGGTCACCTAGAATGACACTCCCCATCTCTGGCCTTCTCAGCATGGGCTCAGACTAGATCCCTCCAAAGGTCAGAGCTCTCTTCCCTCACCGTTGGTAGTCCTCAGGAAAACACACTGGCCCCACAAGACAGTTCATCAAGGGCAGGGCACTACTTCCTGATTCTGCTTCCTAGGGACTCTCTGCCCTCTCTCTCCATCTCTAACCACAGGAGAGTTCGAGAAGGTACATGAAAGGGTACGGAGCTCTCTCAGTCCTTGGAGATCAAAGACTGGGGAGGAAGGAATGATAAATTACCACTATGACACAAAGAAGGAAGAAGAGGGCTGGCTATAAAATTCTAACAAGCCGAAAGGTCAGAGAGCTGCCCACTGGGTTTCTGATGTGGGTTGGTTCTGGCAGTACTTGGTCATGGGCACAGTGATATCTGTTGTAGGTGTCCAGGACAATTGCACCTCACAGCAAGGACCCTCCAGGGTCATCCTGGCCTTAACCAGGGGCTTTTAAGGAGACCTAAAAGCGATCATTTACTTGGACTCAGGTGCAAATTTGCATCAACCAAGAGAAACTTTAAGAACGTCACTGACTGTAGGACAAGCATATTAAAATGAGAACTGGAGAGGTGCTTGGCAGTTAAGAGCACCCAGTTTGATTCCCAGCACCTACACAGTGGCTTACAACTGTCTGAACTCCAACCCCAGAGGATCTGACTCCCCCTTCTAATCTCCTTGGGCACCAGATAAACATACATACAGGGAAAATATCCACACATATAAAATAAATAAACTCAAAAGAATATTAAAATATAGAGAAATCAATGTAACAAAATTACTAATTCTGAAATGCATATGGAAGAGTCTAGATAGTTCTGAAAATTAGCAAGACGATGAACTCACTCTACCAACAGATTGTGTAACGACACAGAAACAGAAAAACAGAGCAAAGTAGACCTGCCAGAAATGCTGGAATTACAAATGTCCACACCGGAAATGGAGGCACACACAAACAGAAACAATCCATGAGAGAGGTAGGCACAGGATGTGGGTGTGGGGGGCAGTCTCTGTAGATCTGTAGGAAATGACAGCCTAGTACATAAGTGGTACGGGTATAAATATGCAGAGAGGAAAAATGGGATGGCATTTCACATAACATGCAAACATAAATTCTAAAATCAGGCAGTGTCTCACATCTATAATCCTAGCAGCCAGGAAACGGAGGCAGGAAGCACCAAAAGAAATTGATATTTCCAGCTAGATGTGGGGTACATGTGTATAACTCCAACACTCAGGAAGCTGAGGCATGAGAATCTGGAAGTCAACCTTAGCCACAGAGTGAGTTTGAGGCCACACTCCAGGGCAGGTCTCATGCCCAGGAGTAGCTAGTTGGTCAACCTAAAATCAGGCCTTTCTTTAATCCTACTCCCAAGCCTCTACCCTGCTTGGTACTCCCTCCTCTGTCTAGTACCCCATCCAGATTCCCATGCCTCTTCTCCAAAGGCCCCTCACAGTGAGCTCTGACCTCCAGCCGCCTAGCCCGCTACCCCTTGCAAAAGTGGAAATTCCCAACAGATATGAGACCTCATACATGTAACCTCAGCACTCAAAAGGGGCAGACAGAAGCAACAGGAATTCAAGGGCACCCTCAGCTACAAGACCCTGACATTTGTCCCCCACCCCACCCCCCGCACTACCTTCTCCTGCTGCACAGACAGAGTGCTCGCATAGAGAAATGCAAGAAATGAAGTGTGTCTGGTCCCCACCTTCCCCCAGCTTTCGTTTCCACACACTTTCAGAAGCGCCTGACCTCATCCAGGGAATTTTCCCCCTTGAAGTAGAAAAGGATTCTGTCCAAGGACACAGCACCAGCCTCAAGGTGGGCTCAGGTAGGAGGGAAACAGAGATGGGTGACTTTGATTTCACAACCAAGCAGCAGCAGTGTGGGCATAGGAGGGAATTCCTCACACCAAACACAATCTTGGCTATGATTTGGATCCCAGCACACAGGCCTTTTTTTTTTTTCCAGACGGAGTTTCTCTTAGTAGCCCTATTTGTCCTGGAACTCACTTTGTAGACCAGGCTGGACTTGAACTCACAGAGATCCTCTTGCCTCTGCCTCCCGAGTGCTGGGACTTAAGACGTGTGCCACCACAGCCAGCACATGAGCCGTTCTTTAGAATCACCCTTTGAATTTATTTTCTGGCATTTCTTCCACTTTGATGACTTTGGAAAGCGTTCCCTAAAGACGATGAACTTCCGCAGGAGTCACCTTGGGTTGGTTTGGTTGGTTTTGATTTTACTGTTCTCATATTTCTGGTGTCTCTGTGTTGAGATGTGCACGTGGGATGAGATGAAAACACTTGCCTTTTGATATGAAAGGCTTTCTCCTGACCGTGTGTCTTGGGGTATGGTGCAATGTTGATTGATTTCAACTGGCCACAGGAGTGTGTTCTCCCTGTAGCCTCTCTGGTTGAGAACCATACTGTGCACAGAGCATGCTATAACAGACAAAGAAGTCCACTATCCCTGTGAGTCTCTCGAGAGTGGGAACCCTGGTGATTTGGGCAGGTATGGTGTAGATGGCAGAGTATCTGGAGAGAGGATGGCGTCCAGTCTCCATGGTTACATGGTTACTCCCAGTGTGAGTCATAAATTCTGTCAGGTGGTGGGAGCTTTGATGGGGTCGGTTGATACCCTCTGTTACTTAATAGTGGTTGGTTTGTTGTTTACTTTGATGCTTGTTGGTTTGTTTGAGGGGTGTGTGTGTGTGTGTGTGTGTGTGTGTGTGTGTGTGTGTGTGTGTATGTGTGTGTGTGTTCAGGCATGTGCTATCCAGGTGTGCACAGCCGGGTATGAGCATGTTTGGGCCAAAGCAGGATACCAATGTCTTCCTCTTACTTTCTACCTCATTGCCTTGAGATGGGGGTCTCTCACTGAACCAAACATTTGCTATTCCAACTGGACTGGTTATCCAGTGAGCTCTTAGGACCCTCCCATCTCCACGCCCCAACAACAGGATTCCAGTCGCGTGTAGCTTTTTACGTGGGTGTAGAGAGTCAGACTCAGGCCCTCATGCTCTTACCCACTGTGCCATCTCCCCGGTGATTCGGACACTGGCTGCTGCAGGCTCTGTGAAAAGTCTGAGGCTTTTGTCCCATTGACACCCACGTGAGCACCGGCAGCTGAGTGTAGGCTGGGCCCTCCAAGCTCTTCTCACACAGCTCGGGCTCCGTCACCTGTGCCCCGTCCCTGGGTTTAGAGCACTCACCGTTGGCCCAGCCACACAAGTCCTCTGGCCTGTTCTTTCTGACAAACTCTACCTTCCACGACAAAGGCTGAGAACACAGAAGACTTGGTTCCAAGCCACCCTAACACCTAGAAGCCCTCTAGATAGGATCCAGTTCTGGCTAGTGTGACGAAGACGTCTTCAGAAGAACTGAGAGGGAAGTTTTCTGATTTGGCAAGAAAAAAAAAGTGTGTGTGTGTGTGTGTGTAAAAGAACAGGTTCCCTGTCTCTCTTCTTGCTCTGGTTGTTGTAGAATAAATAATGAAAACCCAGAGACAGATACTGGGATTCAACCTGAAGACCAGAAAAGTAAAGCAACCAGCCACTGACTCTTACTCTCCCTCAGACTGAAAATAGGCAATCCTAACTCCACAAATCCTCAGACTGATGCTGAGACCTGACTCCTCCTATATTTCTTTCCTCTCTAGTGCTGGGATTAAAGGCGTGCACCACCACCACCCGGCCTCTATGGCTAGCTAGTGTGGCTGCTTTAAACTGATCTTCAGGCAAGCTTTATTTATTAAAGCACAAATAATATACCACTATAGCTTGTCATCATGGAGGCTTGCTTATGGCTTCTTGAAGGGAAAGGAAATACTTGCAAAGAAATTGGCATGACCGATTGATACAATCACCCACCTCTGCAGTCTCTTGAAGACAGATGTAGGAGATAAACCTCTAGTTTATAACCCACCTTGAATCCGTTATTCTGATGTTTTGCAACCAAAGAGACCCCATCTGGCACAAAGGTCCCCTTGTTTCCAGGCCTACAGTAGCAGCGCTCGATCTCCAGGTCCCTTCCTTGTTGCTGCCCAGAAATCAGACGTCATCTGTAAGTCCCAAGAACACAAGGGGCCACTTAGGCTAACTCCTGCCTCCTGCTTAGATCTCTAAGGAAAGAAGGGACACTAAATATGTAGAAACACAAACACGGGACCAGATGAGATCCTGAAGGGAAGATGGAGTAGTTTTACTTGGAGAAATAGCCAAATTTAGTGCCATGCACCTGTAATACCAGCATTTGGGAGGTACGGACAGGAGGATCGAGAGTACAAGGCTACCCTCAGCTACAGAGCAAGTTTGAGGTCAGCCTTGGATATATAAGACTGGGTCTCAGAAAAAAAGAAAGGAAGGGAGAAAGGAGAAGGAGGAAAGGAGGGGAGAAAGAACCATCCTGGGTTTTGCACTGATGTGTGATGCTTCATTTCAATTGTCAACTTGATAAGACCCAGAAGGCCTGTGAAACCGACCTCTGGCATACTGTGGGTCATTCCCATGCTTTGGTTAACTGAGCTGAGAACACCTGCCCGTGGTGGGTGGCCCCATTCCATGTGCTGGGGTCCTACACTGAGTAAAAAATGTGACAATGGCTGAACATTAGCATTTGCCACCCTCTGCGTCCTGCTGAACGCTAGTGTTCAGCTCATTTAACCAAATCAAAATAAGGAAGAAAGGGCTTGCTTTGGCTCACAGTTTTCAAATATTGTTCTTTCTGCCAAGGACATCTGGTGGCGGGAACTTGAGGTGGCTGGTCAGCTGCTTTTGAGGAGCATTTCATCTCAACAGCAGCAAATGTAATGAAGACAGTGTAGCGTTTCTAAATTGCAGATCTGTGGCCTTCTTATCTCAAACTTCATTTCTTCGTTAACTTGCTGTTTAAGCTTGGTATAAGGATTCTAGGTCCCTCCCTCACTTGCTTTCTTTCTTTTTTTAAGAAAAAAAGAAATTCTAGGTCCCTCCCTCCCTCCCTTGCTTGCTTTCTTTTTTTAAAGTTATTTTTTTATTATGTATAGTGTTCTGTCTGCATGTATGCCTGCACACCAGAAGAGGGCACCAGATCTCATTAAGATGGCTGTGAGCCACTATGTGTTTGCTGGGAATTGAACTCAGGATCTCTGGAAGAGCAGCCTGTGCTCTTAACCTCTGAGCCACCTCCCTCCTACCCCCATCCCCAACCCCTAACCTTTTTTTCCAATGCCTTCCATAGATTGTTAGGTCTCAAAGCAAATAAAATGGCTAACTGAGGAGTCTGTTAACTTATCAAAGCTGACTCTGGCCACCAGGTCCTCTCAGCATAGCAAGCACCTGGTCCGGAGACCTGGCTCCAATCAGTGTTTCTCACCCCCACCCCCACTAAACCTCTCCAGCCTGAGCTTCCCCATTCCCAGCTTCTCTATTCCTTTAAAGCAGCCATGTTGGCCAGCGCTCTCTTGGTGCCTCCCCTGGTCCCCTCTCTTCGCTTCCCCTCTTGCTCTCCCTTTGCCTTTGCCCCTCTCCTTTCATTTTGCTTACCATATTCAGTCTGGACTTTTCCAGATGCATCTGGTGTTCTCTCCCTCACACCTACAATAAGATTGATAGATAGATAGATAGATAGATAGATAGATAGATAGATAGATAGATAGACAGACAGACAGATCCTTCTCCTCAACCACACCTAGGAAGAGTCGTGACCTCATTTTCATTCATAGCCCACCCAGCCATGTTCTTCCTCACATTAGTGAGACACACTGCTCCAATGTGACAGGTTTTGATACCTGGATTTCAGTAGGAACCTGGATGTCCACCATTTCCTCCACTTCCACCCAACTCCTAGCCACCCCCACCTCTCACGTATGTTTAAAGCCTCCACAAGATTCCTACAAGTGATGGGAGGCCTGGGACTCCTGGGCCCAACTCTTCCTCCACCATGTGAGAAACACAAGCCTTGGCACAAAACAAAGAAATAAGAAAAACACAGAGCATTCACTGATGCTGAAGTTCCTAAACATTACAAAGGAAGAGTTTCTGAAACGGTATTTCCATCAAGGGAAAAACAACAACAACAACAACAAGACTTTCCTAAGATTAAAGAAAATTCTTCACATTGTAACACATTACCCATAGGAGTGAAGAAAGAATCAATACTGGACCATCCTGTCCCAGTCAGGGAGAAGCTCCGTGATGCCCGGTCCTGAGCGTTCCATCTGCAGATTCTGTGGCCAGCTGAGGAAATGTCTGTGGCATAAAACCAGCCAACCTCCAGCGAGGACGGCAACCACAGAGGATCCCCAGCTGGGACAGACTGACTGCCCAGAGCTCAGGACGGTTGGGCTCACACCTGCTCTGAGCCGCACTGAAGCAAAGGTGGATTTACCTTCCCTGGAACTTAGCGCCACTAGAAAAGTGCAGAATAGGTCTGGCAGTGGTGGCACACAGCTTCCATCCCAGCACTGAGGCAGAAGCAGGCAGATCTCGGAGTTTGAGGCCAGCCTAGTCTACAGGGTGAGTTCCAGAGCAGCCAGGGATACACAGAGAAACTCGTGTCTCAAAAAAAATAAATAAATAAATAAATAAAATAAAAATAAAAATAAAGAAGAAGGAGGAGGAGGGAGGGAGGGAGGGAGGGAGAGAGGGGAAGAAAGAAAGGAAGGAAGTTCAGAATATATGAGCTGTTCCCCTCCTGCTGACACAGCTTCCATATCAGCTTCCTGAGGCAGCAAGTGGCCATGACCTGGCACTTTCAAGGGCCTGTGGCCTTTATTTCCCCAGCATCCATGTGCCACCCAACAGCCTACACTCTGCTGTGCCCTCTGGGCTCTCTGAACAACGTCGAGAGCCATGACAGACACTAAGAACCCTTAAGGATCTTCAGCAAAAGCAGGGACCACAACCCCGTTTGGAGAAGCTGGCCATCTCAAGGCAGGGACCCCAACCCTGCTCGGAGGAGCCAGTCTTGTCACGGCGGCTTTGTACAGTAAAGTTCCGAGAAACTCAGGGAAGTGTTCAAGCCTTCAACTGACCCAAGGTTAGACCACCTTTGCCTCCCTTTCTCTCAAAAGCCTCCTCTCCCAGGCTGCCGTGAGCACTGGAGAAGGGAAGACCAGCAAAACAGATAAGATTCTTTTCTCTCTCTCTCTCTCTCTCTCTCTCTCTCTCTCTCCCTCTCTCTGATTATAGGCTTCAAGTTAAGGGGTTTTTATTGGCATATGTAATTATTATAGATGTGTTAATTATATAATGATGACTGTGTAAGATACTGTATTTGTGTGCGTGTGGGGCCAGAGGACGGCTTCAGGCCCTGTCTCTCCTCGAGCATGGTGCACTTTTGTTTCTGTTCTCTTCCAGGAATCTGGGCCTGCTGGTTAGACTAGGTGGGCTGGCCATCAAACCCTGGGGGTTTGCCTCCATCCATCTCCCCAGCACTCGGCTCACAGGAGTACCACCATGTGCTCTCACGAGAGTACCAGCTTTTTACATGGGTGCTGAGACTCAGTGAGACTCGAACTCGGGTTCTTGGGCTTACACAGCCCTTTACCACTGATGGTAAATCCCAAGATTTCAATTTCAACTTATTTTTCGTGCTTTTCTTCCCTTTTGAATTGTTAAAAAAAAAACCCATCCTTATCACAGGAAAGGAAATGTGACAGCTATTATGGTGTAAATGATTTATACTTTCTTTGGTACTATCTCTTCCTTCCTTTTTTATTTTTTAGCAAACCATACATGCATATGCCCTTTTTTAAAGTTAAGTAATTTAGATGTTTATACTACAAAATTCACCCTGTTCTCACTGCAGTCCCTCTCCTGGGAGTGACACTTTAGTGACTTCCCTCTCCCTTACTCTGCATATGCCACCACTTTGGTAAGGCGACTTATGCTTCTGTTCATTTCACTAAAGACGAGGGCATTACCACTAACTCCCTGAAATGAATGGGTAGACAACATTTTGATCCTTCTCTCCTTGTCTTCCTCCTGAGTTTAGTGGACACAGTGTTACAGGACACGGGATTAGTGGATACAGTGAACACAGTGTCAGTGGATACAGTGTCAGTGGACACAGTGTCCGTGGACATAGTGTTAGTAGACACACTGTCAGTGGATACAGTGTCCGTGGACACAGTGTCCGTGGATACAGTGTCTGTGGACACAATGTCCATGGACACAGTGTCCGTGGATACAGTGTCCGTGGACACAGTGCCCGTGGATACAGTGTCAGTGGATATAGTGCCAGTGGATACAGTGCCAGTGGATACAGTGTTAAGCTTTCAGCTTTCCTCTTGGCAACCTCTGACTATTTTTTAAGACACATTTTATTTTGTGTGTAAGGATGCTTTTCCTATATGTATGTATATGTGCCATATACATGTGTGGTGCCTGTGGAGACCAGAAAAGGGCATCGGATCCCTTGGGAGCAGAGTTACGATGCTGGGAAGCAAATTCAGGTCCTCTGTAAGAGCAGACAGTGCTCTCAACCAATGAGCCATCTCTCCCTGCCCACCTTTGTGACTCAAGCCTCCTGTGTGTTTCAAACTGTCCCTCTGTGCTCCTGACCCCCTCCAGCTTCCATACACCTTTCTCCACCCACTTCCATCAGACCTTCGCCCTAACAACCTCAGGAAAATCACCATACACACTCCAGACCCACCATTACAGCTTCAGGCTTTGTTTTAGGTTTATTATACACAGATGAAACCCAAACCTCCATCTATGAGACGGTGGAGCTACAAGTTGCAGCATCATTACTCCTTGCCACACAGCCAGAATTACACAGGTGGCTCCTCACTCCCTGTCCAGGGACCTAGGTTCTCAACCACAGAGCTTTCACAGTTTAAGCAAAATAAACACTTTTTTTCCTTCATTTTGCTATAAACTGATATCTATGACACCCCCAAATTCTTTATGTCAAAGCTTAGTCCCCAATATTACTGGGCAGTTAGGCTGTGCAGGTACAGACCCTATGATTGGATCAGTGAAGAAACCCCAGTGTTCCTTCATCCTTCCGCTATGGAAGGACACATCCAAACAGACCTCTTCCAGACATGAACTCAGCACAACTGTGATTGCCTGGACAAGACCTGCACACGACTGGACTCTTCAGCATTTCATCATAGGTCGTGGAACGATCCAACGACACCCCTCCTTGAGGGATTCTTGTCAGTTAGCAGCTATTACAGTAGACGATATCCATTTTCTTCATTGGTGTAGCCAAAAGGGTGTCTGTCCTCTAGCAAGTAACCTCCCACTTTCTCTCTGGGAAGAACTCAAAGCTCAGTCAGTCAATAAATAAATAAATAAATAAATAAATAAATGGCATGAAAATAGGAGGGAGACTTGCTGGAAGTGGGGCTCAGTAGGAGAGGGAGAGAGGTGAGAGAAAGGACTTCGTAAGCATGTCAAACTATCAAACAATGTCTAAAGCCCACTACATAAGTATGTTAAACTATCAAACAATGCTTAAAAGTTTTGAAGGCGGCCATCTAAGAACCAAGAAACATGCCCTCACCAAACACTGAATCTGCTGGTCCTTTGACCTTAAACTTCCCAGCTTCCGGCATGGGGTAGTCACAAAGTCTAAGGTACTTAGTTGTCACCGTCTGGTAATCTAAAACCATTAAGATACTAAACGTCGTCTGTCCGAGAGCATGCTTCCAGTGTGCTTTCTTCCTGGGCCGTGGCTTCCCAGTTGCTGTCTCCTCTGGTTTCCAGTTGCCTTGTGGAACTTCTTCTAAGCAAAGAAGACTGTGGAGTTAATATCACTAGGTGATGGAAAGCTATATATATTCAATTTACAATGCAAGGCTGCGCATACCACTATGTAGCCCAGCTTTCTGTGCAACAATCTTCACAAAAATCCTTTCCTGAGCACATACCCCGCCCTGCCCCACGGCCCCTGCCTCTCTGAAGATACAGTATTCAGGCTCCTAAATGCTCCTTCCTTTTCTAAGGTCAGTGGTTATTCTGTGAGTTTATTTCTTCCTCCTCTTTCACACTAGGAATAGTCCTCATACTGTGGTGAGTTTATCACCTTAGGGATAAAAGACCAGGCTCATCTACAGCTCTGATTGGCCTGCTTCCAGTCACATGTCCACCTCTTTCAACAACCACTGTGGCCAGGGTGACCTCATCCACAAGAACTAGATTAAAGGCTTAAAACAAAGTGCACCCTCTGACACTCACATCGATTCTGAGGAGTTAGTCAGTGTTTGTATGACATAGTCAGAGGATTCCACTTCCTCCAAACATTTCAGAGGGTGTCAACTACGGGATGTTCACTGGCCAGTCTCCTTTTCCCTCATGTCCTCGACCATGTCCCACTGGAATTTTCCCAGGGTTCCAAACCTGCCTAGTAACCCACATCCTCTCAGGCTAGTCCCCCAGGTCTTGTCCATCACCCTTGTGAGCTAAGCCACACTGCAATTGCTGCCCTGTAAGGAGCCTCCTGCAGTTCAGAACTTTGGAGAACTGAGCACAAGAGGCTCATGGCATGAAGAGACAAGGACCATGCAGGTCCATAGTCACACAGCCACGCTGTGGTAAGTAGGTATGAGATATTGAAGCATCGCCAGGAGCACATGGATACGAGAAAGACAGTTGCCCTGGAAATGAGGGGCACAGCAGCAGGAAGGCAAGGGGGTGTAAGGGTCAACTGACCTCCCAACCCTCCTCTGGGCACTAGGGACTTACAGTCCTTTTAACTACCACCCAGTCCTGCTGGACTCATCAGTTTCATGCAGCTGGCCTCCTCCACTAGCTCCGTGAACAAGCTTTTCCATTTCCAAGTCAGGCAAGGGAGGTGGTGGGCTCTATTGCCAGAGAAGCCAGAGCCATGAGTCAGCTCCCCTGAGCCCAGGCCAGGCCCTGTGACAGTGGGCCTGGGTTTTTAAGCTGGCCCTGAGGGAAGATGAGGTTGGGGGAGGGGGGCGGACAGACTTAGCCTCAGAGTGTGCAAGACCCTGGTCACCAGGGCCCTCTCCAGGTCTGAGGCTGAGTGGAAGGCCTACACAGACAGAGGAAGAACTGACATGCAGAGAATGGGCTGAGACCCATATTCAGGGAAGCCTGGACAGGGCTCAGCTTCGGCTGACTTCTCCAGCAGCCAGTCCGCCAGGAGCCTGACAGCAGCTTCTCCTCACTCCAGGACTCACCTCCCAGCCACTCTTTCCTGCTGGCACAGCTAGTCCTGGCCTTCAACGATGCTGACACTGTGACACAAAGTGTCCCCTGAGACATTATTTCAAACGGACTAGCACTGTGTGGCAGTTTCTGCCACTGTCTGAGTTTTCCAGATGAGGCAACTCCCAAAGAAAACAAGCACATTTCCCAAGAGCACAGAGCTAGCGAGACAGCGGGGGTTCAAGCCCAAGTCTCCAAGTCTGCCCCGGGAGGCGGGCATCCAGAGCTGAGCCCCTTCGCCGCCCCCTTGCCAGCCTTCTCTCCTCCTACTAGCCTCATTGCTCACCCAGGAGGGTCCCTGGAGGAAACAACCCTGAGACGTCCCAGTGGTAATTCCATCCCTTCACTCATCCTCCAGACCCCAATGCCATAGGAAGCTAAGTATCTGCACTGCTTCCATTACAGTGGCCCCAAAGTAGAAGGTAAAGGGAATACATTTCTAAGCTTGCCAGAGGGGCTCTTGGTCCTCTATGAGGAATTTTCTAGGCAGGAAGTTAGCCCCAAAGCAAACAATAAACCTATCCTCTCCTCAAGAAAAAGACAGAGAGAGAGTTGTGTGTTTCGAGGACGCCATTTGTTCCCACCTCACCCTCACAGAGGAAGCGAGCAGGCCCTGTCCCTGCAGACCAAGTGAGTGGCTCACTAAGAGAGTCTCTCCGCTGACTTGGACTGGGTCGTGTAAGGGAAAAATACAGAAAATAGTTCCTGACTAGTGTGTAAAACATCTCTGAAAATGAGAGGTTGACTGCCCGAAGCCAAAGAGGAGAAATGGCCGTATAGAAGTCAGCTGCACTGCCACGTGATGTCGGAAGCAATTTTTGAAACCCCAGGGTCAGATAAAGATTTTCCTAAAGGGTGCCAGGCACTTGGGAGGCAGAGACAGGAGAATTTCTGTGAGTTCGAGGCCAACCTGGTTACAGAGTGAGTTCCAGGACAGCCAGGACTGTTACACAGAGAAACTCTGTCTTGAAAAAACAAAAACAACAAGCAAACAAAAACTCCCTGGAAAATAGGACCTACCTATAGGACAACTTAACCCCAGCAGAGTCCGCATGGACACGTCAGCTGGATCCTGGCGGGGACTGTCACAAGGGGTCAGTGAAAGAGGTGTCCTCTCCACTGAGAGGCCATGAGTAAGAGAACCAGAAAAGCCCTCAGCAGTCAACACCTTGAGGATTATAAGGGTGACGGTCAGAAAACCTGAAACTGTTTGCATCTCCATTCCCCCTACTTAGAAGAGCAAGAGGACATGTAGTGATGGGGACAGGTGGCTGAGGGTGAAGAGGCTTCCCACGTGCCCCTCCCCATTGCAGGGCGGGCCCGGTTGGAGCAATAGAAGCCCTCTGACTGGAGCTGGAATGAGGACCTTCAGATAGCCTTCCCACCACCTGGAAGTCATGACCTCAGAGACGCTAAAAAGGCTATGGGGCCAGCCATGATTTCATCCAGGGTAAGGAATGGTGGCTGAAAGGCTACTGTGTGGAGAGAACAAGGCTTCCTCTGCGTTTGCTCCTCATTAGTCAGTGGTCGTGATTCATAGGCACCTGCTCTACCTGACTCGGGAACACAGCAATGAATACAGCATTCAGGACTGAGGCCCAGGTATCCACGAGATGATGACTCACAGGCACCCCTGCCCCATGACCCCAGTCTCAGAGACACACCCTGGCGGCTAGTCTCACAAGCTTCATCTTTTGGGCTCATCCTCCAGGATGTTCATGATCATGTTTCTACCTAAAAGCACCCTCCCACAGGCTCTCCCTCCCTGAGTCCTTTACCCCACATCCCTCCTCAGCGTGAACAAAGATTTACTGAGCACCCACTATATGGCAGGACTTACACTAAATGATGAGGAGTGTGAGAAGTATCTCAGTTCAGATTCAAGGGAGAGATATGGAGGAAGAAGGGGGAACAGTGGTGCAAACCAGCATCAGATTGCTGCAGAGGAATGTATCAGGACAGCGGGAGAGACAGCGGAGAGCCCAGGACCGGAGAGGTCACGCAACAGTCGACGTGCAGCTGGGTATAGAAGATAAGGAGAGTTGAAACATGACAGAAAAGCTGCACGCCTGAACCATGGAGGTGGGAAGGATGCAGGATCAGAAGAGGGCAGTCCCTAACGCAACGGGCTCCATTGCCAGCAGCAGTGCAGCGTAGGCTGGGTTCTACGGAGTGAGGTCGGCCGATGTCTTGGCTCCAGTTCAGTGCTCTTGTGGTTTTCTCCTAAAGCACCTGTTGCTACATTGCAACAAATTGCAACAAAATTTTCTACATGAAAGATACGCGTTCTCCCATTGATATGCCATCAGCCTCCTCTTTGTAAAGTATTTGCACTGGCTTTATTACGTCCTGGTGCAGTTTTTGTTTTCAAAAGTTAATCTCTCAGAGGACTGCAACGCCTCTGCCTGCACCATCAGGCAAAAGGCACCTTGCCCATCCATCCCACCGTGATAACTGACAGGAAAGATTTGGGGTTTTCGTTGGGGGCGGGGTGTTTGGAGGTTGGGGTGTGTTTGGGAGTCTTTTGTTTTGGTTTATGTGTGTGCCCAGGAATCTTTCTGCCCGGCTGTAAACTTTGGCCCGGGCGGGGGGGAACAAGCTGCAACAAATGAACCAGAAGAGGCAGAGACACAGCGGCCGAGGGCTTGCTGTGCAGACTCAGCACCCAGTCCCTAACTGAAGCCCATACAGGGATTGCATTATAGGACGAGTTTGGTATGCAAAAACAAAAGCACATTCAATTACAACATGGGAGATTCACTGGCACAGAAAAGCTTAGCTCAGCTCTTCGCTGTGGGAGCCTGTGTTCTGCTGAAGCCCAGTGACTTAGCCCTAAGAGGAGCTAACTGGTCTGGTCTCTGCTCCAGCCAGCTGTTGTCCAAGGCTAGCTGGCCACTGGGCTCCCCCAGCAATCCCTTAGCAACCTAACCTCCTCTGACCACTTTCCTGGCAGAACCACAATAAATGGAAATGAAATGGCCAGCAGGAGGTGCCAGAGGATGGGTAATGAGACACCTTCAGCGAATCAGCTTCCCCTGTCTTGAGGAAAAAAGGAAGGCAGGCTCCTCGCCTGTGGTCCATCATTGCTGCCCTCAGGCTCTGAGCTCAGATAGGGCACAAAGCAGAAAGGGGCGTCTTTCACCCAGGAAAGAAGCCATCCCTATGTTACAGATCTACAAGATGGACTGACTGCTCAGACCTTTGTGATTAAAGCCCTGGACCTCTGCAGATCTAGAGCCCTGTCTTGAGCAGTTCCCTGGACTGGCATTCGGTTCCACCCCTGTGTTTGACTGAACTTCCTTATGACTGTCACATAAGCCCTTTGGAAACCTAGTGACAGACACTAGTTCCTACCAACCCAAAGCTAAGCACACGATCAAATAGCGTCTGAAAGTCACAAGAGATTTGCTGCAGCTCACCTGATGGCCCCCCACAGTCTCAGAGCAAACTTCCTGTCCCTCTGGCTCTTACAGTCTCTTACCCCCTCTTCCAAATTGATCCCTAAACCTTAGGAGTTGTGTTGTAGATGTCAATCTGTCCCTACTGGGAAACCCTTTCTTTAGATAGGTTTCTCAATGGCCTGGGACTTGCTAAGTAGGCTCAGGTGACAGGACAGGGAGTACCAGGGAATCCCTAAGGCTTGTCACACACACACACACACACACACCCCAGTTCTGGGATTCTAAACACTCACCATCACACCAGCTTTTTAAACGGGTTTTGGGGATCCCACCTGAGTGTTCCCCTCACTCCACCTTGGAGTAGTTTGTACTTGCCAAATTTGTAAACCAACAAGCAGTCAAGATTCACACAATTGACATGAGTGTCCCTAAACTAACTCTGTGGCTCTGGGTTGCAGAAATGGCTTGTCAAAACAAAATGACAAACCAGGACTCAGCACAAGCCACGGAAGTGAGAGACCCAACGATGTCTCCTGGAAGGCCGCTACTGCAGTGAAGCTGCTTCTGTTAATACCTTCTCCACAAGCCCTCAGCAATTCAGAGACGCACAGCCGGACACAGGCCCAAGTGTCCAGAAGGAAGGGGCATTAGCACGCACTGCAGAACAGCAAAAGCTCTTTCTGGCATTAAAATGGCAATTATACTTTCCTAGGAAGACTTGATGAGGAAACAAGAGTGCTGTCTTCCAGGTCGGGAGGACAGGCTGCAGTACAAGGGCAGAGGGAACACCTCTCACCTGAGCGAGAGAAGATACATGGGACTTCTTGCTTAGTTGAAGATGGGGGGATTATTTTTTGCCTTTTATGTGATGCTTTATAGTATCTTTCTAATTTTTTTCAAAATGTATTAAGTATGTTATTCCAGTCACTTAATAGGTTCTGGGAGCTTCTACATAAAATACAAATATCCATCCATATATTGCTACCAGGTGAAATATAAAAATACAAGTATTGACCTTTTGCCCAATGTAACAGTCACTAAGGTTGAGGCCTTCCGGGCTCAATCGGCTTTTCCGTTGCTTTATATTTAAACTGCAGTTAACACTGAGTTTCTGTGGTGGAGGAAAGGGACTCAGGGGTTGTCAGGAAAAAAACCAGAAAAGGAGCACTATGCAGGACCTCCTGGTAGAGTGGGCTCACAGCCCCACCTCAGCTGGAGGTGGCTGGCTCCTCTCTTTTGTTGATTTTTGTGCTTAGTGTTTACAGCTAGTGTCTGACGGAGTGGTCTCCTGCTCTGTGGGCCCTGTGGCTGATTTCTGAACTGTTTCAGAATGACATTCTTCTGGGGACAACTTCTATTTGTGCAGCTACCATGTTTACTCCTCTGCTACTCCGTCCATCCAGAACATCCGCTTCTGGTGTTGGTGTTGTGCTAACAAGGAATGCAGTGTCCTATAAGGAAAACGACTTTCCTCACCCTGGCCCCTAGCTCCACTTCAATCACTTTTAACAACTTTGCACGCTCCTTCTGGTCTCAGACCCAGGCTTGGCCTCTTTAGCCTGACAGTCACCAGAACCCTGGTAGCTTCTCTGCCAGTCACCAACATGTATGTATCTTTCTCCTCCGTAGAAGCGATGACTGCTTAGCTCCCAGCCGCATATGCCCCCACCCCACCCCCAAGCTTTGAGGGATCTAATTGTGGAATAATACCATTGTCTTTCCATCTACTCTAAGCATTCCTAATAAGTATTTACCGTGCTAACTAGTGACATGTTTACTACGCTAATAATAGTTCTCACCATTAACGCCATTGAGATGCTAAGGCCTGCAAAGGCTTTCTTTCCTTTCAGTCTCAAAACATCTCTAACAGGAAACTCTGTGTATCTCGAGTTAAAGATGACCAAACCAGGCTTGAGGATTTTCTCAGCCTCCACGGTGCTATGCCCATAGCTTAGGCAAAGGGAGGGTTTGGTATAGTTTGGTTCAAATCCGGGGTTGTTTTGTTTCTGTGGTCTTGGTGTGCGAACGCTTTCTTTTATTTTTGTTGGCATGTGGTGTAGTAGGCTTGGTTGGTTTGGCTTGGTTTGGATGAGACAGGGTCTCACTGTAGCCCTGTCTTGCCTGGAACTCACTGTGTTGTCCATCCTGGCCTAGAACCCGTGCTAATTCTGCTACCTTGACTTTTGAGTGTGGGATGGCAGGCCGGAGCACCACACCAGGCTCATGATGAGGGTTGAACATGATTCTGCCTATTCCAAACCTATGCCCTAGCCACTGCACTCCACCACAGCCCTTCTGGAGCAGTCGGGAGACCGCCGTCTTCTCCACCCGGGCTCTTGGGGCAGACAGCAGAGAGCACAGACTGGTGGGCACTTTATTGTTAGTTCCCTTTAAATGAGGTAAAAGTTGAAAAAGATGTCCATGAAGGATTTAAATGGGAGAGTTTTAAACTCTCAGTAGCACTGGGGTGCTGACTCTGGGGACTGCTAAACCCCTTCGGGTGCCAACACCAGCGTCTTGCTGAGCAGCAACAGAATAACAGACGCTGGCCTCCTTTCTCCAGCAGGCCTCAAAGAAGGCTGGCGTCGAAGGTCTCTGGAGCAATGGGTCTCCAAAGCCGGTCTGGAGCAATGGGTCTCCA